GCCCAACCAACTGAGTCACCCAGGCGCCCCAATATCTCAGACTTCTATAACCTGTTTCCCCTTTCCTGGATCTTGGCTTTAACAGTGACAACTACTTTCTGAAATGGATGTCCCCATGAAAATAAAATATGCAGAAAGAGAAATACACCTAGCTAATAAGCGTCCTAAGTCAAAGAAATGCATAGAAAGGAAAAAGCAATGTCTCTCCTTTAGAGCCAGCAGATGGAGGGAACGACCGTGTCCCAGCTGCCAGGGATGCGGTGAGGGGGGCCCCCCACACCCCACACACTCCCGCGCGGCTGGAGGCAGTGAGAGCCCGTACAACCTCTTCGGAAAGAAGTTCGAGAATTTCTATCAGGGTCCTTTCACAAGATTTCATATGATGCCCTAAGTGTTTTCCTACAAACTTGCCCTAGGAAAATAATTATATATGGGCCGTGATTTAGGTACCAAGGTGCCCTCTTACAGCATATTAAACAAAGAAACAGGCTGTTAAGTGCCCAGAAGCAGAGATTACAATCAAAACGTGGTGCTGCTGCCAAGGGGTGGGCCTGCGTGGCCGGGAGTGAGGGGCCCGGCGGGTCCTCGGTGCGCATTTGCTGGGGGCTGACGGCAGATGGGAGGCCAGGGCGCGGCCTTCCTCGCACACGGGCCTGGGGCTGCTTCTTTGGCTTCACGGCCCCGAGACCCTTCTCTGAAGGTGTGTTCTTCTCCACACAGGGCATGTTCCAGTAGATCCCAACGCCGTCCCTTCCCGGCCGAGAGATGCGTGCTCCCGAGCGCGGGAGAGCCGTGGCGGGCCTGCGAGGCGACGCCGCGGCCTGCCTTCTCTGGTTGCTGCTGCTGTGGCATTGGGACCCCGGCTGCCGGGCCCAGAGGGCAGGTGGGGCCACCGAGGAGTGAGCCGGGGCTGGGCGCCGAGCCGCCAGGCCGGTGTGGGTGTCCGCGCGTGAGCATGCGTGTGCATGGGTGAGGGGGGAGCGAGTGTGCGTGTGAGCGTCTGAGCGTTGAGTGCAGTGTGTGTGCGTGTGAGAGCGTGGGGCGCAGACGTGGCCTGTGAGCGCGCTGGGCACTGATGGCGTGAGAGAGGGAGGTGGCTGGTAGCCAGTCGTCCGGCGAGGGCATGTGCTTGTGCGAGCGAGAGTGTGTGGGGGTGTGAGTGTGTGGTAGGGCTGGGGACAGTATATGCAAGTGTGCGTGTGAGTGAGAGTCTGAGGGCGTGTGTGACCGTGTGAGGTATGAGATTGTCGGAGTGTGTGTGTAGACGTGAGAGTGCACGAGTGTGAGAGTGTGGTGAGTGTGTGGGGGTGTGAGAAAGTGTGTGAATGTGGGAGCATGTGTGTGTGAGTGTGATAGAGCTGGGGAGTGTATAAAAGGGAGTATGTGAGTGTGAAAGTCTGAGGGTGAGCGTGTGACAGTGAGTGTAAAGGTGAGCATAGGCGTGTGAGAGTGTCTGAGGGGTGTGTGTGACTGAGTGAAAGTGAGAGTGTGGGACTGTCAGCACGTGTGTGGGTGCGAGCGCATGTGAAAGTGTAAGTGTGAGAGTCTAAGGGGAGTGTGTCTGTGAGAGTGTGTGTGCGGGAGAGTGCGGGAGAACGATGAGCTGTCGGAACCCACATCCCGAGTGGACCACACAGCGCACGGTGAGCTTGTCTCTGTCGAGTGCTTGCAGGCTTCTGGGGACAGAGGGCAGGGGTAGGACTGTGTCGCATTGTCCTGTGAAGGGTTTGGGGGCATATTCCAGCAGAAATGGACACACTGGAGGCCCGCCAGGAGAGGCGGCCGGGGCCGCAAGGACAATACGCCTCTGGAGGAGATGGGGGAGTGGGAAGTTCGCTGGAGAAGAGGCGGCAGGGGCAGGAGGGGTGAGGCGTGACGGGATGCTGGTCCAGCCCACCTGACTGAGGGCCTTCTGGGGAAGGTGCCATCCGCGGGGAGACGCGAAGGAGGGCTCAGGAACACGAGCGGGTCTGGGTCTCGGCACCGACACAGAGGCTGCATGCTGGGCTCCTCAGGGCACAGGTGGACCCCTCCTGGGACGGGCCCCGGGGCGGCAGGGCGAGCACCTGGCTGCGAAACCACCCCGTTTTGCAGATGAGGAACTGAGGCCAAGACCGCTCAAAGCCCCCAGCAGGTGAGGAGGGTGCCCACAAGGAAGCGCCCGCCTGAGCCCACGCTGTGTTCCCCGAGCCTGCCGAGGAAGCGGACACAGGCAAAAACCCCAGACCTTGTGTTTCTGTGTTTTTCCCAAGTCCCCTCCTGTATTTCACTTTGCCTGAGCCTCTCAAAGCCCAGCTAGCTGGAGAGACAGTGATGACCACGCATGGCCTAGTCTTCACGGGAGGAGTGTCGGGTTCTGTGTCCACAGAGATGAGCCCAAGAGCACACACAGCCGACACACAGGGAGGGCCCAAGGACCATCTCCTCCCAGCCCTCATTTTAAAGCATGCAAAACAGCAGCCCAGTGGAGAGCGTTCACCGTCAGGGCTCACACACATGGCTCTTGCCCGTGGCGGAGCCGAGGGCATCCCGTCGAGGTCAGAGCCCTTCCCGAGACAGCACACCTAATTCGCATGCACACACCATGCAGTCTGCTCCCTAGCCCCCAGGAGAGCATGGACCAGAGTGCCAGAGGGCCCCTGGGTGAGGCCTCTGGAACAAATGAACTGTCTGCAGCCTTAACCCAAATTTGCTCGGGGATTACAGCCCACAGGCTGGGTCCTGCTTGGCCCACAGCAGCAATTACCCTTCACAGGCTGGGGCATCATTGTCCCGAAGACAAAAGGATGACCTTTTGTGTCAAGGAGGAAAACTCCCCAGGAATTATCTCTTGAGTCCACACATCTGGGCAAACACTCCAAAAGCTCTAATCCTGTTAGGGAGCAATCCTGGGAAGGCGGGGATTTACCTCTGCTCCCGAGAGCAGATTGCAACTTGGATTTTAGAAACTCGGGGTAAAAGGATGTATGGAAAATTTACGAGAGGCACTGGTGTAGGGTGGGATGGAGAAGTGTGTGTGCGTGTGTGTGTGTGTGTGAATACAGGGTTATTGTTTTCCTCTTTTCTGAATTAATTCATTACTTATAAATACAACATCAGAAATACAGAATAAATTTTACCCACAGTTCTGCTTGCCAGAGGTAAGCAACATTCCTTTTTGTAGGTCCTCTGATGCATACAGACACAAGCCCACACACAGACATCATATTGACACACAGCTTTTCAGACCCAGCAAGACACTGGGAGAATGTATCTGTGTTGGTAAATAAGAATTCCTTCAAGCCAGCACTCCACGGCTGCTGGTCTCTGTGCCCTATGAGCCCAGCCGATGGTCGTGTGAGCAGTTCTGTAGGGGGAGCATGGAGCTGGGCTCCAGAATTTTGCTTGCCCGTGCTGCATGAACTTCTTAGATATCTTTAAAATTTTTTCTTCCTTTTCGTCTGATTGTTTTACTAGGGTAAATCCCTAAATTTGGAAGTGGTGGATCCAAAACCCTCTCCTTCATAAGGCTTCTAAAACCCTGAAAATGGGTGTGACAGATCCCATGGCCAGTGGTAGAACAGGTGGCTACATTCTCCTGCACACTGGCTACCATGGGGATTTTTTATACTTTTGCCAACATGATAGTTTAACAAACTGTTTTGTTGTTGTTGTTTTTATTTTGTTTTTACTAGATGAATGTTTTTGCCAGGTGCTGGTCAGTTGCTGCTGGTGATATGAACAAGCCTCAGATTCTGCAAGATTCAAGACCCAGGCTTCTTGATGGTTCCCTTATATGTTTGTGCAGCTCTCTGGAGTGTAGAAAGAAACCCTTTTCCTCATCTTACCAATTGTGAAATGGAGATGAGCAAGCTCTCAGCACAGGGTTGCCCTGAGGATCAGAAATAAATTATATAGTGTCCTATTTTGTTTAATCAAAAGCATTGTGTAGTTTATATAAAACTTACAAAGTTTATAAAATAGAAGCATATTATACATCAAAATATGCTATTTTTATAAAGCATGACAGAATTTCTACAAATTTATATTTAAAATGAGTGCAATATATTTTCTATGAGTTATAATATTGGAATACTATAAACTATTTAAACATCTAACGCTAAATAAATTACATGCTCTGTGCAATGGCATCTTGCATCCATGGAAACCGGCATCACCACACTGGGAAAGGGTTTCCAGCACATTGCCAGATGTGGGGAAAACAGCTATGTGTCCGCGTCTGGTACAGTCCCACGTTCATTAGTAACTGTATGGAAATAGAAAATACTTAGGTGTATACACTGTGGGTTAACAGCGTGACCCCTCTGTAGATGGAAATTTAAGTGTTTAAAACATTTTTCGATTGCCTTTTCTGAAATGAGCACGCGTTATTTGCAGTAGGTTTAAAAAACAAGTCACTTGGTAACCAAAATAAAAACTATTGAAGAAACTGATAGAGCGGTGTTCCATGAACGTTAACCCTTTATATGCAAGAACACATATTGGCAGCTGGATCTCACAGCAACCTTGGGGACACTCATCATCATAAGCCAGTTCAGAAAGCCAGGTTCGGACCTTTAAGGCCCCCAGCCAGTGTGACCTTTCCCAATCCGTTTGCCCCAGGTCACCCTTCTTCTCCCCCCTCCCCCCCCCCCGCAGGTTGCAAGACTGTCCACTATGACCTGGTCTTCCTCTTGGACACCTCCTCCAGCGTGGGCAAGGAGGACTTTGAGAAGGTCCGGCAGTGGGTGGCCAACCTGGTGGACACCTTCGAGGTGGGCCCTGACCGCACGCGCGTGGGGGTCGTGCGCTACAGCGACCAGCCCACCACGGCCTTCGAGCTGGGCCTGTTCGGCTCGCGGGAGGCGGTCAAGGCGGCGGCTCGGCACCTGGCCTACCACGGCGGGAACACCAACACGGGCGACGCGCTGCGCTTCATCACACGCCACAGCTTTTCCCCGCAGGCCGGCGGCCGCCCGGGGGACCATGCCTTCAAGCAGGTGGCCATCCTCCTGACCGACGGCCGCAGCCAGGACCTGGTGCTGGACGCTGCAGCTGCCGCCCACCGTGCGGGCATCCGCATCTTCGCCGTTGGCGTCGGGGAGGCGCTCAAGGAGGAGCTGGAGGAGATCGCCTCGGAGCCCAAGTCCGCCCACGTCTTCCACGTGTCCGACTTCAACGCCATCGACAAGATCCGTGGCAAGCTGAGACGCCGCCTGTGTGAAAGTGAGTGTGCGCAGGGCGTGGGGCCCGAGCAGTGGGGAGCCCCCGAGCTGCGCGGCTGGCAGGCGTCAGGGCTGCGCCAGAGCGCACCGGCCCGGGGCTCAGTAACGGAGGAAAGCGGAAAACCAGTCCTCCCTGCACCCAGCAGGGCGCACACCTGGGTCCTTCCCAGGCTCCGCCTCCAGGGCGCAGGTGGGAAGGAGATTAAAGAGGGCCGGGTTCTCGGCCCCACCCACCCCGAGAGACCCGGAGTGGGTTAAATGCCTGGCAGTCCCATCTCCGTTTCTGTAGTGGGAACACATCTCACCTGCAGGGCTGTTCAAGTCAGAGCCAGCTCCAAAGCGCTTCCTAAAGCTCATGGCAGATGAAATATATCAGGCCCCTTTCTTCTTCCAACGGACTGCAGGGACAGGTGGTCTAAGGAAGTAGGCACAGACAGGCTTCTGGACTGTAGCTGTGATCCCCAGTCAGCAGTTTGGAGATGGTCAGGCCCAGCTTATCCCAGAGGCCAAGTGTTGTTGACCTGGTGCCCTCTGAGATAACCCGAGGTGGTCTGGAATCTGTTGACTCTGGCTGCGGATGGGCGATGAGGGGGGTTGGGCAGCAGGCAGGGAGCTGACAGCCCCTGGGCTTCTGACCCTGAAGGCTGACCTCCAAGACCCTTGTTGGGTCATTCTCAGGACAGCCTCCTGCACAGGACAAGAAGGGTGAAGTGGGTTTTTGTGCATCAGTCTGTGTCCAGCTTCTGTTCTGCCTGCTTCATTGGGGTGACATTTGTCCTTCCTGGGTCATGAGCAGTGTTTGGTGACACCCCTCCCCTGGGCCAGCAGGTGGGGGCTGGGAGCAGGGTCTCAGCCTCTGTCTTGCTGACTCCTTCTGGGGACTGAGCCTCCTCGGGTGGGAGAAGCTCAGAGGGTCACAGCTTGCCAGGGACAGGGAAGCCTTGGGGTTGTGGCAGGCGGTGGGGACAGCTGGGCGTGACTTGGCAAGCAGCAGGGGCCTGGGCCCAGGGACGGGCCTCACTAGCAGCCCTGGGAGAAAACAGCTAAACTGTGTCTGACACCTGACGCCCTTGGGCTCTGTACCGCTCTGTGACTCTTCTCCCTTGGCTCACTTAATCTCCATTTCCACTTACTTACTCATACATACTTATTGGGGATCTAGTTTTTGTGTGGCCTTGTGCTGATTTCTGGGCCTGTGGAAAAAGATCAGACAAAACTCCTGCTCTTGGAGTGTTCATAGTCTAGATGGCGAAAAAGATACATAAAAAGGGATATAATACTGTGGGGATGACCTTAATAAAGGTGCTGCAGACTCTCATGGGGTCCTACTATGGTTGTGTTCAGTGATGACCTTGAGAATGACGGAGGGCTTCCTGGAGGAGGTGGTGCTTAGACCCTTTAGAAGGACACATCTGAGCCATAGGATGAGGGATTGAGGGATGGCATGACACAGTCAGGGAAGTGTAATGGAGCCCTGGAGTTGTGGTCAAGGAGGGGTCTGGGGTTGGTGGCTTTGTATGATTGTCAGGCTCTCAATAAAGGAGGGCTTGTGTGCTAAGATGAGGTGTGGGAGGGTTTTGTGCAGGGGTATGACGCCGTCAAATCTGTGAGAATGGAATGCTGGCAGGACAGCAGGACACAAGGAGACCCTTTATGGGACTGCTGGAGAAATTCAGAGAACAAACAGGGCTGGGGATAGAGCGCTGAGGACTAACCCTTGTTCTACAGATGAGGAAATTGCCCTGAGTGCTAGGTGAAGGAGAGCGATCCGGTGTGTGAGGCATCGGCCGTGAACTTTCACCCTCATTACAATCACATAGATTATGGTGATCTCCTTCTCATGGATACAAGCATGCAGCATGCTGAGCTCCTGGGAAGGGCAGCTGCTAGGCCTTCAGCAGTAGGCCATCGGGGTGCCACAGCCAAGACAGGAGAGGGCAGGAAGGCAGGAGAGATAGCCTGGGAGGCCCAGGGCTCAGGATGGCCTCTGGGCTGATGAGAGCTAGACACCGGGCCCCAGGCCCAGCCAGGAGGCAGAAGTCCAACGTGGTGGCTCAGGAGTATGTGCACCTGCTGTGATCCCAGAACACCTGGATGCAGGGCGCTGGGAAGCAGGACTCCTCTAGACCCTGCCCACTGGCAGCCTTGGTTCAGACAGGTTCTGGACGTCGGCCAGGCAGAATCTCGATTTTGAAGAATTTCTGTGCCCAGGGCATGTTTCTGGGAATGGTGGGAACGGCCCTGGAGAGGTGAAGTCACTGGGTTGTGCTGCCCAGTTAATAGAAGGGCAGGGCTGGGGACGGAATCTAGGCCTTCAGCCTCCATGCACTGGCCTCATCCTGCTGTGCCCCGCACTGAGGCGGCGCCCTCACTGACCTTCTGAGTCAGGGACAGTGCTTTCCATCACAGGCCGTAGAGGACCCACCTGCAGATTTATATCATGCATGACGAAAAGGTCAGAGGTCAGGCGGGCTTGAATGAGGAGACCAGGGCTCATTCCACTCCTTCCGTGTCTGGGTTTCTCCTTGGCGTTAACTCTGTTCTTGGCGGGCTTGTGTGTCCGGGTCCCCGCATGGATAGTCCACTGCAGAGGTGTTGATGAAGGCTTTGTCGAGAGACGGCTGAGGTCGTTCAGCGATACTGAGCCCCCAGGAACGGGCAGCGGGCGAAGCGGGCTGATGGCAAGGGTGGAAATGTGCCCAGAGCCCTGTTAAGATGGGGAGGCGGCTGGAGGCACCTCATGGAGGACAGCTGCTTCCTCAGTGGTGGCCTAGAGGGAGCAGGAAGGAAGCCCCCGTCTTCTCTCCCCTCCCCTCCTCTCCCTTCCTCCCCTGGCCCAAGCCTGTCTGACACCATCCCACAAGGGGCCAGGTGATGTCATCCCAGGGGCCAGCCTCCTGGGGTGGGAGGGCAGAGGAAGTGAGAACAGGTGTGGGAGGGCACGCTGGGGCTACCTGTGGTGAATCTTAGGGCCAGGAGGGATGAGACCATGGCCCAGCGGGCCTGGATTCAGTCTGATGGACGAGCGTGGGCCTGCAGCTCTCCCCAGACCAACACTGTGGCTTCGGAGTGGAAAGAGGCTGACTGGGGTGGAAACCACATGACCCCGTCCTAGTCACCACCACCATTGACCCACGAAGGGACACTGGGGGCTGCAACCAAGAGAAGGGGAACCAGATGCCAGCCAGCCGGGCACACCACATGTCCGCCATGATGACATTAAGAAAACTCACAGTAGCCAGGCTCCTCCAAAAACCTAAATAGATGTAAGATGTAAGTTATGCTCAGTCGTCTAAAGGGAATTCGTTTTTGTAAATACAGCTGTAAGCTGACTAGGGGCCTGCTTGATTCTGATGACAAATGAAACAAAATCCCCTTACAATTGCTTCAATTAGAAAGAAAGCAAAACAAAATAAAATAGCTAACAGTAACATGCTGAAATATATCTAGTAAGATTAAATCAAGGAGCATCACAAAATCCACATGACCAGAAGTCCCTGCACACACAGGAGAGATCTTTGGGTGACTTTGGAACCCAAACAGGGGCTCTTCTGAATCGGGGCCTCATATTGATGATCTGGAAAATCACAGACGAACGATGTGGGATTTTTGGTGTAGCAGTCATTCAATTCGATCCGACCTACTCATACATTCATTCAATGGGTGTACGTTGTAGCAGTCATTGGATTCGATCAAATCATTCATTCACGCAGTCTTTAGCAACCCAGCAGAGCATTGTAGTAATCGTTCGTTTGTTCATTCATTCATTCATTCGTTCGTTCATTCAGCAACTGCACACCGAGTGATTCCTCTGCTGGGGTCCATGCCCAGTTCCCAGGATGCAGTGAGGGATCTGACATTCTTTTTGTCCTCAAGAAGCTTTTGTCTACTCGAGGCAGCAGGAACGTGGCAGCTAATTACATGATGGAATGTGGACCCTGGTTTCCACCTGCAATTTCACATGTCTGGTAGTTTATCTGCCTGGGGTCTGCCTTCACACATAAGAACAAGCTTCGCGAGGGCAAAGTCTGTTCCTTGCGGTTTCCGAGTGCCCGGAACAGAGCCTGGGGTGTGAAGGAGCCGCCTAAATGTTGTTTAAAGGAAATCAAGGGTGGGAATCTGGGGTTCGTTCTGTGCTTGCTGTTGAGTTGTACACATTAGACGTACCTACGCAATGACCTAGCCCCTTCCAAATGCAAAGGTTCAGAATATTCTGCAAACCTGAAATCATTCCCAACATGAACTGAAATATTGAACTTATCTATATATTGATGAGCAGAGACAAATGGTTAGACTCTGAAGGTTGATGAGGGTCTGGAAAAGGCAGGCTGGCTGGGATGGGCCGAATCATGCTGCCTCGTCTGGTGGGGCAGATGCAGAGGAGTAGGACCCTGACCGGGCTCCACTGGTGTGAACAGAACCAGGGAGTTTGCTGTTCTCTGAGCACCAGACGTTGACAGCACTTCGCATCCCACTCTCGCCCCGCTCCGCACCCAGCCCTGTGAGTCGGTGTCGATGCTCAGTTCTGCACACAGGGAGCCCCAGACCTGCGTTGGCCAGCACGGGGGGGTCGTGACCAGTCGGGTGCTGGTCCTAACCGAGAAGTGCCACAGGACTACACACGCTGGCTTTTGTAGACAGAATGACAATGTTTCACGAATATCTTTTCTACTGATCATGTATTTAAATGTGAATATTTGGGAGATTAGGGGATACATACAATATAGTAGTAAAATTAATCTCACCTGGTTCTACTTTTTCAAATGTGGCTGCTAGAAATTTTACTATTACATACGAAGTCCACATGTGAGGCTCCCTGCCCCCCAACAGCTCTCTCCTTTGATGCTGCTCCTGCCGAGCTGAGGTCCGGTTGCATCCAGAGCCCATGCTTTTCCATCCAGCGCTTGGCTGCAGAAGGGTGGAGGGGCGGCTCTGAGGGACAGCAGGCTCGCCAGGGCTGCCCTTCCGAGGGGAAGCAGAACCCCAGGTCAGTGCACAGGA